AAAAAAGAAAAAGAAGTATAAAGTACTCTGTGATTTATTTAACATCTGCAAATATTCCCTTTAGTTAGAAAAGTATATAAACATAATTAGCCCATATTTAAGATAGGAAGTAAGTATGTATTTAAATAACAATACACTGGCTTTAATACAACTACAAAAAAGCAAGGTTAAGTGTTGTCTGCTTAAAAATGGGATTATTTTGGCACACACAGCTTAGGAAGGACACTCTATTTCTCTAAATACAATGACTCTGGAAAACAATGAGGTAATGTAGTGCATCTTCCAAAAATAAAGGCTTTTTAAATAATGAAATTCTTCCTTTGATCAGGAAAATTCATAAACTAGAATTGTATTCATTATTAATATTCTTACCTCACACTGGATCTTTGTCAACTTGGGTCTAATAGGAAAGATGGAATTTTACATTTTGGAAACACAAAAGGCTCAAATCATGGCCAAAAAAAATTTCCTATGTTTATATTCATGTCAATGCTATAAGGGAACAGTGCAGTCAAAAGACATGGTTATAAGCTCGTGAATAGGCTACTCATCTGAATCGTCAATTATCTGACCTTGCTTGATAGCGATATTCCATACCACCACAAATATAATTGTGAGAACAAGCAGACAAATATCTCATAATCCAGAAGATTCATTTCAAACTCATTCTAAAATTTTCTTTCAGAAATCCTTAAAACATACAACTTTAAGGAATAACACCACTTATTTTATAATGCATGCTATAGAATACATTTTTTTTTGAATAAATTTTTCTTTGCAAGAACAGGAGACCTAAGTAAACACGAAATAAACAAAAACAGATATTGATTTTTCCCAAGTGTAGTAATTCTGACAATGCCCAGTATTGTTTCTCATATCTGTTTAGCATTCATTATCAATGAAAATCTGTAAGGAAGAAACTACACATTAAACCGCAGTGTAGCCTAGCTTTTGTGTTCCATTTCAAAAGGCCTCGCTCTTTATCATCGAAACTATAATTTTGTGCTTCTCAAAGTTAATACTCAGTTCACTGGAAATTTCTTTGTAAAAGGAAACGGTCACTGAAAAAATCATTCAAACTTTCTACCATCACGGCTTTTTCTTTCCCCTCGCTGGCCACTCAATCCTGAATGGAGGGCTGTTACTGTTCCTTTCTGCGGATGACATTACTATGAGGTATTTTCAAGTCCCACTTCCTTAATATTATCAATCACGTGCTTGATAAGTACATGAAGTGCTGTTTTAGAATTATCTCTTTCACAAATACTGACATCTAGAAAATCATTTCTGTCTAACAGTGTTCCAAACACATTTATTACACAGACAATAAGTCCCTGTGTTAGGTCAAGCATAATGAAGAGATCACAGTTCCATTAAGATGACATGCAAATAATTTCAACAACATGAAAAGATCCGTAATAGAGAAATGTATGTTGTTTCAGGAGCAGAGCAAATAGCAACCTCTACCTGAGAAAATGCATAGAGATAGCCTCTTCTCTAAAAAATAATGTACCCAGTTCCTCACTTCTAGCTTAAAATGCTTTCTTTGTGGCCATCATCTTGCTGGTTAGCCTTGTTTGATGAACAAAGTACCCACCCCAATCACAAATCCCCAATGAGCATACCTTGTGGCTTTGGACTTGCAGCTGAGTGTTTTGCTGGCCTGTTCCCATTTATTCCCTGAGCCTCTTCTTTAGATACATTCTCATCAACCAGTGTGGTTGTGCTGCTTATGAAACAAGGTGGAACTAAAGCGATCTTTGGACAGGTACTGCTGCCTGCAAAAGAGTTCAGAAAGAAAGGGCAGTTAAGTATAGAGGCATAGCACAGCACTGTCTTGTAAGTTAAATTTCTCCTGACCCTGTACAACAGAAACAGTCATAGTTACAAGACTAAACATAGAAATACTTTTCCCATGTGGGCTGGCGTTGATAAAGAGTTTTCCTAGGAAATATCTCATTCTATGGGCTTTAGGAATCTTATAATGGATGTTGACAGAAGACTGCTATGTACAGGCATCCTTTCCTTGCAGGGCCACAGAAAGGGCAGAACACAGCTGCTACAATGTAGGCGAAGGAAAGGACTGAACTAATCCATTAAAAGCCTTCCTTTTTAGTTTCGGGTCTGTTGCTAGTCATAGAGCAATTCAAAAGTACAAAGGAGGAAAGCCCAACGGGACAGCTGACCCAAAGACTCTAGAAGAATGGCTCCATTAGAAATGAACAAATACACACACGCGCCCACATCTACACGCACCCTCTCGCCCACTAGCTTAGTCAGACTCCACATCAACATCCATGACACAGGCTAACGTGACCTATGTTTTCCAAAGAAAGGATGGCAAGATTATACAGATGACATGGTCACATTTATATAGAACTCACAACACCAAAATGTTCTTTAAAATCACACCAACACATCATGAGACATAGATGAAGAGGAAAAGATTAAAATTTTGTTCACTTTCTGGTATAAAAAGTCATATATTGAATTTCAGAGACTTTTAAAGGCGTCATGTGTCGGTGTTCTCTCTTTATTATGCATATTAGATTTCCTTCTCTTCCGGTTGACATGCTGATATGAAGACAACTGATTCTGCTTCAGAGAAAATAAAATTTCTACCAGGAAATTCACTATAATTGAATCAAAGAATGTAATTTAAGGAATTATCATTTGGTTAAGGAATGAAGAGTCTCGTTTTTATAGAATCCAAATATCTGAAAGAGAACTGTTAGAGATTTTTTTTAAACCTTGATTATTTAAAACAAGAGACGCTATTTAAAAAAAACCAAATCAACTTTCTATTGAGTAAAACAACGTCTCTTAATTCAATTCATTATTAAATAATATTGACTAAAAAACACATTTGGGCTGGGCACTGTGGCTCATGCCTGTAATCCCATGGCTTTGGGAGGCCACGGCAGATGGATCACCTGAGGTCAGGAATTTGAGACCAGCCTGGCCAAGATGGTGAAACTTCATCTCTACTAAAAATACAAAAATTAGCTGGGTGTGGTGGTGGGCACCTGTAATCCCAGCTACTCGGGAGGCTGAGACAGGAGAATCTCCTGAGCCCAGGAGGCAGAGATTGCAGTGAGCCAAGATGGCATCATTGCACTCCAGCCTGGGCGACAAGAGCAAACCTCTGTCTAAAAAAAAAAAAACCAAAAACCCAAAAAACAAACAAACAAAAAGACTCCACACTTGAACTTTATTTTCTGTGGCCCTCCTTAAAATTTATCTTGGTAAAACAGATTTTGGAAAATATCGAGTTCCAAGTACTGTCTCAACAGTTCTTTCAGAGCCGATGCCAAAACAGAAATTAAGTGACACTAGGAGTTTGAAACCAGCCTGGGCAACATAATGAGACCTTGTCTTTACTTAAAAAATAAAAATTAGCTGGGCATCATGGTGCATGCTTATGATCCCAGCTACTAGAGAGGTTGAGGTAGGAGGATTTCTTGAGTCCAGGAGGCTGAGGCTGCAGTGAGCTATAATCACAGGACTGCACTCCAGCTTGGGCAACAGAGAGAGACCTTGTAACTTTGAGAAAAGAAAAAGAAAAGCAGGGTGGGAGGGATGGTGCTTATCAGACACCCTTCTACTAAAATGGTTTATCAGATAGATTAAGCATTGTTTAGCAAAATATAACAAGAATTTAGAAAGCAAAAGTAATAAAAGATTATTTGACAGATTATTATTAAAATTATAAAAAGGCCGGTGCAGTGGCTCATGTCTGTAATCTCAACACTTTGGGAGGCTGAGGCAGGCAGATCACTTAAGCCCAGGAATTTGAGACCAGCTAGGCAGCCATGGTGAAATCCTGTCTCTACAAAAAAAATTAATTGGGTATGGTGGCATACATCTGTAGTCCCAGCTACTTTAGAAGGCTGAGGTGGGAGGATGGCTTAAACCTGGGAGTTTGAGGCCACAGTGAGCCGTGATCACACTATTGCCCTGCACTCCAAACTGAGTGATAGAGCGAGACACCATCTCAATATAAATAAAATAAAATTATAAACAGAAGAAATAGAGTTCAAATCTTTAAATGTGTAAGCTTATCTACCTTCTTAGAAAAAGTATGTGAAATAGGCAAAGTACATCCCTAAAATCCACAGCATGTCATACAACCACTTGGCCTTTTAGGGGGAAAAACTGGATGCTTTTTCACAATGATACTAAGAATGGCTTAAAGGCCACCTGCTGGGGTCTAGTGAAGGATGGCTGTACAGTCCCAAACAGTGCAGAGCCACAGTTCAACTACAAACTAAAGCAAGGAACTAATGTAATCATAAATTGAGACCCTGAGACATCAAGAATGTAGCTTTAGCATCAATTCATAAGAGAAAGCAGCAACAATACCACAAAAAGGGGGCAGTTAATGGGTTAAATGAGAAACGAGTTACATTGAGTCTTTTAAAAAGGTAATCACTATTACACTTTAAAATATTTAAAAAGTTTGACGTCTATTTAGAAATAAAACATGTCTTATCTAAATATTAATTTGAATGAAAACAAAGCACTTAATTTCTAGACAGCAAACTTTCAGGGTATAGTAGGTTTTACAACTGTCATGTTGATAGAGACTATCTCCCATGAATGTGCCAAAATGCCTGGAATAAGAGATCAACTGTGCATCTACTTTTAAAATAAGTTCATCAAAGTCATGATTACACATCTTCTGCCAGAGGCAATAGATCAACATGTCAGAACATTGTTTAAAACAAGTCTCTAAATTTCAGCCACTATCACAAAGCATGGAAGCATGGTGAAGGACACAGAGAACACTTACATTTTTAAACATTTGTTTAAAAAAACAAAAAGGCAATGACAAATACGTAGAGATCATATGTGGCTACAAGGTTAAAAATACTATTAATGATTATATGGTCCTGTACAGGAAAAAATGTGCAGACCGCTGGTATAAGTTAAACAAATCACGGTAAAAAGAAGTTTGCCTAAAAGAAACACTTTTCATTAAACACTTCATCTGCTAACATCTTGGATAATAGCAACAAAAACTGAAACTTTCTGCTTGTTTTTGACTGACTTAGCCAACTCATATTTGGACAAACAGTCCTTATTTGGGTACCAGTTGCATAACAGGGAATTGAAACCGAAATTGTAATAAGCTGGTCCTCTCATTTATTAACTCTAGAGGCTCTTTGATTAGAAATTACAATAACAAGAAGAACTAGTAGGGCTGATTTATAAATAGTTATCTTAGACACAGCTATAATGAATTACAGTATGTTAGTTAGCATGGGGGAGGAGAGGTATCTGATTTAAATACTGTCCTTCTTGAGGACTGATCATCTGTTTAGCCACTTTTTAATACTAACCCATTGTGTACTCTGACCTTGGGTTGCTGACCTAGGCTTGCTGCGTTGCATCTCCTATAGGAATCTCTAGACATATGCTAACCTCAAATATTCTCAACTGGCCTCACTGTTGACTGCATATGGCTTCCTCATTCCAACTGCAGAGGTTGCCCCTATGGCTTAACTTTCCTTTATCTGTCTTTTCTGGCATTTCAACGGTTATGCACTAAGTCACGCTTTTGAGTGGTAGATATGTCCTATAATCGGTTAGGGTGACTTTTGGCTACCATTTGCAAGTCTGTTATAGGCTGTTATATTTTATTCTTTTGCATTTTAAGTTTGGATTCTCTCTTTGGCTATCCATTTCAAAGTCCACTCAGTTCTCTGATTCTTCGGGCCTGACCTCTTGCTACAGCGTCCATGACCTCAGATCACATCTTTATACGATCCTGCTTACAGTCTGGTTATACTGTCTCATCCATCCATACACTGGGTCTCTAGCCCTGGAGATCTCAATGGAGTCCACCTGTTGGAACAAGGATCTCTTATATCGAAGAGGGAAGACACAGTTTTCTAGGGTGGATCTTTTTGGGAGCATATTGTCCATAAGGATAAACATACTTAAAAAAACCAAAAACCACTTTATTTGCATTTAGTTTTCACTGTTTCCTTGGTGTACTACAACCTGTGAGAATTACTTAGATTTCTCTTGAATTACTCTGGCACTTTTAAAGAACATGGTCAGGTATTTTGTAGAATGTCCCTCAAACTGGGCTTCTCTGTTATATTTTCATTATTAGACTGTGGTTACAGGTTTGGGGGAACAATGTAACAGAGGCAATGCACCCATCTCACTTTATTATATTAATATCACTGCATGGTAGCAACATGATTATCATGTGATGTTAACCCTGGTCAACTGGTGAGGTGGCATCTGCCAAGTTTCTCCACTATAAAACATTATTATAAGACATTCTTCAACGCTCTTATCCTAACTCCCAAAACTCCCCCATTTGTCACATAGATTACAGATTACATCTTCCATATGCTAGCCTACAAACCTAGATTAAGAGATCAATTGCCTTAAAAAAAAGCCATTAAGGTTATAAAACCCATACTTTACAACTCGCTCGCTAACGGGAACAAATCCATAGCCAGGAAATTTGAGTGTTATTTCACATAGCTCCCTGAACTTCTAAACCTGAATAATAAATTTGCTAGAAAAATAATTATCAAGCCACAAAGGATCTTCAAAAAGAAAATCTGATGAAGAGTTAAAGAAAGTTCCTCGGACCTAGGAACAGTTCTTCTAGGACTCTAATCTACAGCAATAGTCCTGTGTATGTAAAGTTGTATGTATATGGATGGTCGATATAACATTATAGAACATATGCAGCAGACTGGGAAGATTTCCAAAATATTAATAACAGAGATCTACAAGACATTATTAAACTGTA